ATGCAATGCCATATCTCTGTTGTTATAATTGTAAGTTTTATGACGCTGTACAGTGTAATATCTCTACTGTTCACCGGGTTTTGTATGAAGTTAATCATCAACGCTAGTAAGAAACTGACGTCTGGGGAACTTCAGTGTGTTCCAAACTGCACCTAGCATTTTGAATCTTGTCCTAATCTTAATTATACGCAGGACCAAAATATCAAATTACAAACAAATCTGTAAAATGCAGAATCTAAGTACGCTCTACGTCCTTTGTTTATCAGTTTATTTCACTACGTTTTCTCAACTGTGTGGGTTAAAATCACGTTTCAGAATTATTGAAAAGAACAGAGCGAAGTCGGCATACAACACCTCCGCGAACTATCTCAAAGATTCACCTGTGGCAAGGACACAAAACATCCTCCCAGGACAAGCAAGCCGCTGGCCGAGGTTCGAGGCCTTGTCCTGTCCATAGAACAAACTGGCTATGTTCCGACTAGACATAATGCAGATTAACAAAAGATGGTAACTTCATTGTATTTGCTTTACAATTATTTTGACATGCTTTCGGATTCATAATGAGATGAAGATCGAATGAACAGTAAACATAAAAGGGGTGGGGGGAATGTAGACGAAGAGATGGATCGACGGACAGATATTGAGAAGAGACACAAAAAGGGAGGTAGGGAGGATAGGAAGAAAGTAAAATGTATGGAAACTTATGACAGTTTGCTTAATTACACGTCGTAGAAACGTCCAGTTGCTTATGACGTGAGCAGAAAGGCAGACACTAACATAGTCTCGGTTATATACAGGATGATTCAAAATCGTACTTTGCTATTCTCCCACTAGCTTAATTTTATTTATTTTTTATTAATGTACAAGGATTACATTAGCAATCTTACAAACCAAATTATTTCAGCGGTATGTTATCAGACTTCCCTACCTTCAATGGCCTCGACTGACTCAGGATAACTTCGGAGGACATGGATTCCTATTCTAAAGTTATTCTCTCTGAGTCCTTCTATACGCTTATTCAGTTTGGCGCTAACATTTTGAATCACCCTGTATATGGAATGATTGTCTCGTTCAAGATTAATTGCGGGGGGAAAGACAGGTTAATGGCGTCCTGTATGCTCTAATTGATTGCGATAAGCGTAAACCCCATTTGATCACATGATCAAAATCGCATATAACAAATTAATCTTATAGCTGTAATTATTGATTCTGAAAGATGAATAAGCGCTCGCTGACGATGCCAGATATCAAGATAAAAGCTACATGGGAAATGGAAATGCCAAGTATGTTATAAAGGCGTTTCGAACGTCAATTACGAAAATGTTCCATCAATTCGTCTCTGTAACAGGCTATTTTACGACGATGAATGGGATTCAGAGGTTGTGTGTCATCGAACGGAATATTGTATGAGAGATCGAAGAAAGGAAAGGCGAAATGTGTCGTGTGCGAACAAAACGTGGCTTTGGACACGTGAAAAACACCGAGAAACAAATTCCGGTACAATCGGTTTCCGGCGTATAATCTAATCGAATAAATTTAAAATAGATCTTAGATAAATTGGGTCTGAATTGTGTTGAAATATCACACGGCAATGCGAGGCTTTTAAGTAACGAAATCTCTTAACACAGGTAAAAGTAATTAAATTCGATTCTTTGTTATCAGCGTGCTGCATCAGAAGCCAGAAGCCAATTAGCACAAAAGAAGAACACAATAATAAATATATCAAAATAAGAAAACAGATTATCAAAAAAGAAATTGCACGCTTGTAGAGGGCGTTAATACACAAAGGAAACTTGCTACTAAATACAACAACGTCAGAGACTCTGCTTTCGGCCCGAAGGTCAGAAATGTTTTCTGTTTTTCGCGGCACTTTTAAGTCTTTCGCGAAAAATCCAGACTCCTACAAATTTAAACATTGTATTCCAGAAGCGAGATGGTCTGTGTCGCCAGAATTCTCGCTACCCTGACGCTGCTGGTAGCTGGAGCAGAGGGTGCCGTTCCTGACTGGGTGGTGGCGAGGGTAGTTTCCTCCCTTCAACGGCGGTATCACTCTGGATGCGTCTTTCTGCTGCACACAGCCGATAAGACCGACCTAAGTAAGCACTTTACCTCTACTCTGGCGTAAGCATATTAAGGTACACCCAGCGATCTCTGCCCTTTTAAGGAAAACTATTTCTGAAAGATCATTTTTCCGGAATCACTGAAATGGTCGTGGTGGACTAATGCATTGCCTGGCCTCCCCAGTCACCGAACTTCACACTTAATACATACGTTCAAAGGTATTTCATCTGTGGCTACCAAGGATAAAGGACGAAGTTATGGACGAGAATACTGAAAAGGTCGCAGACATCCTTCGTTATGTGTTACGTCACACGTGAGAAACAAGTGGACATCGACAGAATGTCTACAACGGCTCAGCAGGCAGCCATAATGAAATAATGTAATCTCTCAAACTAAGTACCTGACCGTATTAAATAATTAGCATATATATTAACCAACACAGGCAACTAATCAAAATATCAAGTAACTAATTAACGAAATAAATCTCTTACAGCAGAAACTGTAGGTTACAAGAAGCCAGAAATTATTAAAGTCCTAAAGCCACACGATAATGGGCCAGCACCATCTTAAAGGCTTTCCCCCCATCTATTTCCTGGCCTACAGAGTTACCGCTTTACAAGTGGTTTCTCCGCGTTAAATTACATTACACATTCCCTGAAAGTTGAGAAGTTACTTTGTGATCACCCTGTATTTATCTCCAATTTCCCACCCACCATCATCGCATTGCTACTTTAGATGCAAATACGCACATACAAATTTCACGCTACTGTCGTACTAGGGGGGTAAATTATAATTGAAGTGTTTCTTTCTCACCAACTCCTCGAATCGATTTACAAGACGATGTTTAGGCGTTCGAGATTTGGAGAAACGATTTGACAGGTTTACCAACTTTCCGTTGTTCAACGGTTAATGCAAAATCGATCGATCAGAGAGGGTTTAATGATATGTAACATGATGGCGTGGCCAGCTGCCATTTCATGCCTGTCACAATAACAATTTGGCGCCGATTCCAGCGACCTTCAATTGTCAATCTTGATATATATGTGGTTATTTATGTATGCTGTTGTTTCGTGTCGTTGTGACGTTGAAGAGTTGTCTAACTTCAAACAAAAGAACAATCTCTTTTTATACATTAAGAAATCCGTCCGTAAGACACAAAATGCATTAGTTTAAAACAATGGGAAAGATAAAAAATGGTTCAAGTTAAGGTTTATAACGCAGTTAAAAACTATTATTGTTAAACGGTTCAAACACTATTCTAGTCACATCTACTTTTCAAAATATCAGATGTGATGAAATATAAACTAATAATTTTTACAGCCTGATTTGCTTTGTTGTGAATCATTAAGAATGAGAAAGTTTTCTGACTCTCACAGAGGATATAAAGATGTCTCTTCCTGTGTAATTTGGTACAAGTTTACTACACTACGCGGCGCTACAATGCATAAAACATCCATCTTCACAAGAATGAACTTTCGAGTTCCATAAAATGTGAGTAATTTGACCTAATAAATGTACGATTCTGTTCTAAATGAGGAATCTGTTCCACGAAGTCTGTTTAGCGATCATCTAACTCTGCATCTATTACACTTATTAACTTTCAGCCAAGGACATTAGGTTAATAAGAGATAAGTCACCAAAGAACGTATCAGGAAATTACATCCCGATGAGTACAGGTTTCTACTACGGCGTTCCAGCCATTGAAACAACGTAATCTCCTCAGGTCACACATACATCTGCTTCCAGATCAACTAATTATGCATTTCCCTCTTTATCTTTTTTCCCACAGCTTCTCAGGAGCGACTCGTGCAGTTTCTGCTAAGAAAGCGTCTCTCCGAGGAAGCCACACAAGTGGCCGCGAGGCGACTCCGGCCCGACAACAGCTCGCTGCAGTGCTCCCGCAACGTCCCTTTAAACGTCGTCGTGTCCAGCGAACCAGATGTCAAGTTAACTCTGACAGAGGTATGGCGGGTGTTACTATTACGTGCAATTAAGTCTTTAAAAGTCATATTTTACACCTCGAGCTGCTTAGCGGATTTTGATTAAATCTCGTATGAGTGGTCTACATTCGTTTGGACTTTTTATGCAGCAGTTCAATTTAAAACCCAATTTTACAAGAAATTCTGATCGAAATCTCTCCTAAAAATTCACATATTTATACCTATTATTCATACCAGTCAGCCGTCTAAATAAAAATAATTAAAAACTCAGTCTGTACCTGAAAGAAAACACGTTATCTCCATGACAACGATCAAATGATTAATGCTGTTTATTTTGATAAAAATCTAATAAAAATGCACGCTAGCATAATGTATGAAAATTGTATTTGAATTATTTATCGTTTTGAAGCTTTATATAATTATATACACCTGAGGATGGTTCTTTTAGGAACTGAAACATGTCGTGAAACATGAAAAATGATGGTCTAATGTAAATCGAATATTTCGATAAAGAACATCATTTAATATTTTAAATATTTTAAATGTTAATTATTGTAATATTTTAATATTTAATAAGAAGATTTAATATATACTTATTATATCACAATATGACGCAACTTTACCATCTTACGGGGGAAAATCCAGATTTACCGAGTCTCAAACCATGCGGTATATATAGTTACCACTGTGATTTCGAAGTTAAAATAGCCGAATTTTCGCGTGTGTTCATCCACAGTTCTCCAACAGACACAACCTAGCGGAATCAAAATGGCTGCTGTTCTTGACTGAGGGTAATATCGGCAGCTTCTTTGCCGACATGAACGTCCCGTTCAACTGTGAGTTTCTGGTGGCCCGTGTCACCACGTCAAGCGTGACTCTGTACGAGGTGTACCGCGTGGCGGAAGGCAGACCCCTGAACAACATTTACTTCGGAAGGTGGACACCCCTGTCTGGACTGGTCAGCGTTCAGGAGAGCATCTACAGGCGACGCGGGGACCTCCAGGGGACCGTAATAAACGCCATCACTGCGAACGTAAGCGAAATAAACCGCTCGTAAATTCGTCTTCAGTAACGTCGTCACGGATTGGATAATTCGGCCTGTTCCATCTTTTCTAACGTCTTCCCACGTGTCTTTTACTTGGTGGTCATCCTTTCCGGTTCATCTTAGGGACAAATTTTCAAGAACAGTTCCGTAACTTTCAACAGTCTTAATAATATTTAATAGAGTAGTTCAATGTTAGATTTGTGACATTTATAAGATCACCAACTTGGTTTATGTAGCATCTATAATTTAAATAAAAAGTGTAAGAACCTCGTATTTTCTTCTCTAGCTCTGTAATTTTATTAATTCCATCTCAGAATTAATTAATTCATTAAACATTAAAGATTCTATCATCGCATGGTAGGAGAAAAAACAAATAGTTTGCTATGTTACGATAGTGCAAATGACGTCAGCCTTTCATTGCAGGATCCCCCAATCGTCACTATTCTGCAGAACCAGACAGAGATAGTCGGTTTCTTCGGTAGAGTGTGGAAAATCCTCGAGCAAAACATGAATTTCAGGTGAGAGTTCACTTAAGTGAAATTTATTTTATATAATCAGGGCGACGAGACGAGCGGAACATGTATGGTGAAAAAGAAAACGCACGCAGAATTTCAATCGGGAATATGGAAAGATAATATTAAAATGTTCTTAAGATATAAAATGTCAGACACAAACAATAGTCTTCTGTCAAGAGTGTTAGCCTATGTTTCTCACCCACGTAAAATAATTTACATTCCAAACGATTCTTTGTCCACCCAGAACAAACTACACGATCACAGGAGACCTGACAAAGGGCAAGCCGACGCAGAAGGGCGACTGCAGTGGTATGATCGGCGTCCTACAGTGTGGTCAGGTTGACGTGGCGCTCGGTGCGTTCTCTACCAGCTCATATCCGACACTGCCAGTCAGATTCTCCATGCCTCTGCTTTACACCACGTGAGTCCCTCAGCTTCACGCTCCTCCCCGTCCACAAATCTTTCTCTGCCAATGAACTGCATGAGCGTAACACGTAGGGACCGCTACGTACTCCATCACGCGACGCGGTCGATGCTTAGACGCCGGATTTGTATCGCAAATACTTCAGATAGGCCACTAAGAGATGGCACTACAGTGCCAGGTGATTTTTAATCCTTCATACCTCATATATCGACCATACAGGCGAGTCTTTTACACTGTAAGCCAATCAGACCGCGACACGTGAGCTCAGAACAGCAGCACACAGTACACGCAATTAATGAAATAGTTACAGAGTTTTCATCATGAAACCGGCCGGCAGGGACGCAGAATGGGACGCCTTCCTCATGCCCTTCAGCCCGCGTCTCTGGCTTGTTCTGCTAGCAACGATCCTGTTCATTGCCTTCTACCTGTCCACGTTCTACAGCATCGGACGCTGGGTCGGTAATGAAGAGTCAGGAGGTCCAGAACTGTACACGTTTTACGATTCGATACTGTACATTTTCGGCGCCTTCTGTCAACAAGGTTAGCTAGTTCCCTTGTTTCATGTCAATCTACTTCTTTCATCATTCAATCTCTGTCCATCAACCCAAAGAAACCGCCCATCACCTCAACATTCCATATGACCATCAACCCATCTGCCCACCAGACAACAAAATGTATTTATTACAATATGTATTATTTACACCCTCAAGCCGTAGTGAACGAATATTTCAGGTCATGACCTCACCCCGCGCTCGACGTCCTGCAGGCTTGTCTACATCACGGCGTACCTTACAGCCCTTGTACTGCTGGCTGCATACTCTGCGGCCCTAATATCATCCCTCACAGTCTACCGATCAAATCTGCCTTTCCAAGACTTGGAAGGGATCCTCAGAGATAAGACTTACAAACTCGGTGTCGTAAACATGTCTGAAATATATTACACTGTCTCGGTAAGTTGGAGCTTTGTTTTGACTCAACTACATAATTAAAACAAATAGGAGGGGAAATAATTTTCGATGTTGTAACGCCTTGAAGTTGGATGTCTCACACCTCACGAATTAGTCAAAGCGTTCCCGTGCAAAATTTGGAGTTTGGATCCAAATCCCTTATAAAAGAACTTTACAAAAAAAAACTACATGAAATAACATACTTTAAAAAAAGCTGTGAAAGCCGTCAGAGAAAGTGAACACCAGCAATAATAAGATTTGAGTCATGTTAAGTGACAATTTTTGGTACTGCGCAACCAACAACGCGCACCTTGTTAATTGAATCATAGAATAGTTACGAACACTTAGTTACAAGAATAAACAGAGGGTAAAAGAACATAGGAAACCAGTAAAACACGCGCTACTATAAAGTTTCCCGTTTTTATCCAGGACCCAACGGATAAAGACATTTTCCATGAGGTGTATTCGAAACTGATGTTACCCGACCAGGATAACTTCCCACGGACTGTGCTCCAAGGGTTAAAGCGAATCTGTAACATCAGATACGCCTTCATGTCCATACCAGAGAGCGTCATGCCACTGCTGAATCAAATGAACTGCACCATCGTACCGCTGGCTTACAACACATACCCCATCAGCCTTGCTATGGCGTTTTCACCGAGGAGTCCCTACACAGACTTCTGGAGCTACAGGTGAGTTCAATGCGCAAAGACTGTCCTTTAAAACGAAAGGCTTTTCCTACTACGTGCGAAATATATCGTTTAAAGACACCTGTCGTCTGGGTCGTAGCAACGTGAAGTCTGGCATAAGTTTACCGACGTCTCAGAGGTCTCTGTTGCCTCCATCATCAACGCCTAAGCCCGAAGACATCCATCTTCATATCCCCTCCGTGAAAACCTCAACTTGAATCCAGTTCCCGCCCTCACAACCACGTTCTACATCATCCAGTTTGGTGTGGAGCTATTCATTACGGGTTTTTCTCTAGTACTTGTGATTCTCTGCTTCAGACTGCGGATGCTGCGTGATGGGGGAGTGATTTACAGGCTACGCACCGACAGCTGGCCATACCTGGGACAAGACATGACGAAGAGTACCACCGTCGGGGTGGACCTGAAGGCAGTCGCTCCACTTCTGGCCCTGCTGTCGGCGAGCACTGTCATGTCCGTCGTGATTCTTTTCCTCGAGCGAGGGAGGTTCTCCGTCTCGGACAGACGTTCTCGGGGCAGAACTCGACGGGAAAGGAACGCTTCCCGACAGCAGATGGTCATCATGCACGCGGCACCGGAAAAACCTTCGATCGTGCCTCTTCGTCCCGGAGGTCGGAAAGACTGAAGCCACCGCACGGATTTCTGGGCGACCCGAACCCAAAAGTAGTCGTCTATTTTTTTTTGTGTATAACCCAACAAACTGAACTACAATTACTTTAACATCGGTCGCGCAGAGGCACGAGACGTTAAACAAGTTAAGAACTGTACGCACGGCGTAGCAATTTTGACGCGTTCGTCATTATTTCATACCTGACCTCTGAAAATGACGCGGGGATTCCCCACTTGGAGAGCCGGGGATCCTCAAATGTCACTTCCATGAGTATAGATGTAAGACGCTTCTAAAAGTTGTCAGATTTTTGGCCAAAACTTGAGTGTGTAGATACGTTTAATAAATATCTCTTATACGAAATATCGTGAAAATTCGTCCATGTCTCCAGTCGTTACGCGCGGACAGACAGACATACCGAAGGTATTGCGCGTTCTTCTGTAATTTATGTCTTCAAACGCGGCGATAATGTGTTCAGTAAATTTTTCGGCGAGTCACTTAGCAAGTAAATTATCGAAAAAGAAAGTCGGTCAGTCAGATCTCGCGGGGTTTAATTTGACCAACAGAGTTACCGACACAGAAATACACAACGAAAAAGCTTCAGATCAACGGCAGAAGATGGCAGGTGTTCACAGGCAATATCACAATCTGCGCACATTCCCCCCTGGCTTTCTCCATAGCTAATGTATACATAAAGAATTATTATTATTATTATTATTAGTGTGAATTAAGAGTGCTTATTTTATTTATTTTATTTTATTTACGATAATTCAATGTAAAATACAAAAAAAAAATACCAACCACACAGCTGAAAATGAGACGATCATTTGTACAGATGACTCTCACCAACAGCTCAGAAGCTGTGCCCAAGACTTTGGAGTACTTTACAATTTGTATCCCTTATTTAAATTGATTTTTCGTTCATGATAAAACTGAATTGTAACCGAAATACATAATGACTCGCACAGATACTAGGTTTCTTACAGAGTCAACTGGCTTACTAACTACACAGCAGAATGCTCTTTCAGAAGCTTATACTTCCTAGAACAAGAATTAACTGTGCTTCGAAACGTCAACAGATTGGTATTTGTTAATGGAGACGAGTTGCATTCTTTGAGGTAACATTTGCGTCAACTTCGCAAATGGAATTGTAAAGTGAATTAATTCTTAGATAATTTCTGATTTATAGGCGGGCACCTCTGCTCGAATTACATGTCACGTGGTCCCAATGGTCCGGATGGAGTGAGAGTGTACTGGAATTAAAAGTGTAAAGGAGGGAGGGCCTGTTATGAATTACCCTGAGGATAAATGAAACTCAACTTCGAATGAGGTCATACATATGTACAGTGTTGTAAATCTGTACCCCCACTGAACACAATAATCGGCCCCTTTAACTACAGAGACATCTTTCAGAACAAAATAAAATGTAATTAGTGTTAATATATTACGGCTTTAAAATTCACCGCATTATGTGTCAATGTAAACGGGACACGAACTTACATCGAAAATTACACGTGTCATAAATTCTGTCATAGCTGTATTCAAAGCAAATCTGTGGAGAAAGTCAGTCGACAACTAAGCAAAATTTAAGTCTTTCACGACATTCTGTGTGCGTGTATCAGAGGTTTCGAATGTTCCATAACATACGCCGCGTAACATTCAACAGTGCGCCTTCTACTAAGAATAACGAAAGACATGTTCTGCTCCGACAAGAAACTGGGCCCTTCCAGCGTCATCTTCATATTAGCGTCCTTCGTCTGCTGCTGTGATAGCAGAGCAACTATCGAGGTAAACAAATTGCATTTCAGAATCGTACACACAAAAGCATGTGCCTCGGACTCTTGCTTTTTTGGGGGGCCGAGACATCGCCAAGTCTTACAGAAGTGACTTCTAAGTTCGTAGTCGTCTAACGACTACGCAGTGTCCAAATCAAGAACTGTCACGGTCATTAAAATCTCAAACACTCTTTTATAAGAGTAAGTTAAGTTAAGTTAAAAAATCTGAATCTGCTTTGTTCGATTCCTAAATGTCAAAGTTTAAAACATATCAAAAATCGTCTTGCTAACTGTTGGTTGATTAAAGATAACTCTAAAAATTAAGACGCGTTAAAAAACAGTTTAATCAATTATTGGTTGATTTGAAAAATGAGCTTAAATTGTCGCATCTGTTAACACATCAACACCAAAAATTTCACGAAGTAAGAATTCAGGTTCTCAAGGCGTCGTGTGGGGGTCTTACAGTGATGATTACTGTCTCTATCATAATCCTGACGATGGGGGCAGCAGGCATATCTGAAACAGCTATCTTGGACAGATAACAGGATAATTCCTAGCCAAATATTACTGGCCTAACACCAGCACATATTAAAAAAAATTAAAAGAGAAATACGAGGAAACGATTAAAAGTGTACTTTTGTTATAAGCCCAGTAACGCAGTGATGCTGATTGCAGAAGCGTCAGGTGATATACGGAGGCCACGTGTCTCTGGCGGTCCAAAGACCACGCGACCAGGAGAGAAAAGGTCAGGATCTGAGCAAGGTGCCTGGCAGGGCGGGGGTCGATTACCCAATTTTCCATTCTGTGCCAGCGACCAACTTCCACTGTGGCAATGTACCAGCCGTGCCCGGCATATACGCCAATGTAGAGACCGGATGTCAAGTGAGTAATCAGATTTAAGCATCTCATTCGTACTTACTTAAGTAACGAGAAGAAATCAGTTAGCATCAATGCAGAATAATTTTACAGATAGAAAAAAAATAGATTTGGGGCGTGTGTATATTATTATCGTCATTAATATTTGTTTATTTGTTTAAATCTTGTCAGTCTAATCACAATAAAATTCCTATTAAATATTAAAATATTACCATAATTAACATTTAAATATTTAAAATATATTAAATGATGTTCTCTATCGAAACGTTCGATTTACATTAGATCATCACTTTTTACACGACATGTTTCAGTTCTAAAAGAACTATCTTCAGGTGTATAAAATTATATAAACTTAAATATAATTTCTTATCGTCATTAAGTCAAAGCGAGATTCCAGTCACATTTAACGTCCTCGCGGATAAACGTCTCGATTTCTAACAGTTCTTCCGTTAATGGATTTAAAGTCGCCTCAAACGTATTATTTGCTCGTCGTTGTCATAAAAATTACTAATCTAACCACGTACATTGTAACTGCAAGTACTTTCTGGAACCTGCGTTTCCTCCACTCTAGATGTAACAGTCTCTTATCGAGACGTTTAAGCTGAACGCATTTGTTCTGAGAATCTTGGAACTTTACACCAAAATAGTTTTAATAACTGGTGGAGGTTTAATTTCACAACGCGGTTATAAAAAAAAGACTTCACAGAATAATCCGAGTCGTAGCATAGCAGGTTCGCCGCAACCATCTGTCCCACATTCGAGAGTAATCAGCAAGGAACCCAAGTCCGATATCGGCAACTGAAGGCAGCCACGCCTTGACGGCGACCGGTTACCTAACAAATGCTAGCAGCATTGCAGTTTCTACGTCACGGTTGAGTTTCGCAACACGAAAAAGATTATTCAGTGTCTCGGCTAGTACAAAAACGTCCGTCAAAATACAGAATGTCACAAAAACATGTATACACATTATAATTCGGAATATTAGCTTTGTCAACTGTGGCCATTTTGAACTTCACTAGAACAGCTAACTCACCAAGTGCCAATACTGACGTATGTAATGATTTAGTTTATTAAAAGTATTTATTTAATTCACTGAATGTGTAGAAACATCTTTTTGGACAGCCTGTATATGTCTTTGGTTGGTGGTAATTCTATTACCACAGGATTTTACAACAGCTGATGAGGTTACAGACAGTCGAATTTGTCCAAGTATTCCGTCTAAAATTCTGTACGTATTTCTTATCTCACTACAGGTTCTTTGCGATCCATTTCCCCCCAGCCTCTTGATTTGACTGCCAAAGTAACATCTTTGGTAAAGAGTTCAATTCATAAAACGATGAAACAAAACGTGGATTGTGATCATCTGGCTTCTGCCACCGTGTAGACGTGTTAGGAACGTTTCGAAGGAACGGATAGTCTATTTTTAGTGGGAGACACGAACTGAGACAAAGGAGTTCGTAGAAAGTACTTGAGGATGATATTAAAAAGTGTCGTGCGTCGCTGTGCGCAGGCTTACCACGTCTGTCACGACGGGCGAGAGGGACACCAAGGGGCAACGTTCCTCTGTTCCAACGGAACGCTGTTCAACCAGCAGGAGTTCACGTGCGACTGGTGGTACAACGTGAACTGCGCCGAGGCACAGACGCACTACAGGTAAAGGGGTCACTCTCTTCTCCCGCTTTGTCATGCCTCATTCTTGTCGTCTGTTCTTCTGTTCCCCTCTCCACCTTTCCTCCCTGAAAACCTTTCTTTATGTCTCCTTCTTTGCTTTACTATTCTCATCTGCTTTTACTCTACACTTCTCCCGAGGTCTGGGGTTCAAATCTAGGCCAGGAGACCGGATATCGTTACTTCGCGTCCTATTATAGTATTTTGTCTTACAGCTTGAATCTGGACCCGCTGAAGAACCCGTACGCGCCGAAACCGAAGCCGGAAGAATCAGTCCTACAGCCATACGAAGAACAACAGTACTCCTACGGCCGGAAGTAGTCGACAATTACAAAATACAAGAACTTCATCGACAGAAGAACTGGGCGTACATCACCGCACTATTATCCAATAATTATTTATAATTCACTTAAACGCAACATTCAGTCACACTCACAATGCAACAGCACAACGCGTTATTATTTTTTTTTAATTTAAATGCTAATTTATCATCTGCAGACAAGGTTCAGATTTAAATAAATATCGAAGAAAAACTCCACACATTTCACGAACATTTACTTCTTCGGTAATAACTTCGTACGTCCAGTCTTGAATCATATGTTTCCTACAATAAACACGACCAGAAGTTCCCCAATTGGCTGCCAATACCCACAACGTACGTCTCCCATCATCAGCCATCCCGAAACGAACATCTCCCATAGTATCTTTTAGGACGGAAGTTGCAAGAGATGTTTATTTTAATGTTTCGATGCACTAAAACCATGTATATCGGTGAAGAAGCCGTCACTGACGGGCCCAACGTCCAAGCCCCAGATGATACATGAGTGAATATCGAACAGCGGTTGAATGATACTGACAGGGGAAAACCCGAAACACTCAAGACGGAAAAAATCCTGTCCCATTAACAATTTCCATTCATTAAAGTTAAAAAACGTGATTTGCGTGCCGTGAAATATTACAAGGAAACACGACTACTAACAAAATTTAGAGGGCATTTCATTACTCATTAAACAAAGGCAAGCATAGCCTTGTCCTATGTCTTAGTTCTCTGCCATTTGCACAGTAAGCTCACAGCGCTGATATCTCACTAATGAGTTTCCCCTTAACATCCTGCAACAAGTGATGCAAACAGAATATAATTCGTGGACCGCTGGGCATTTTGAGCAACTTTATGGGGTCACGGACAATCACGATCCGACCCTAGTGTCAGCAGAGGCACAGATGAAACCTTTCATTTCGCCAGAATAATTTAACTTTGACGTAATTACGTTGCTATGGTTACCTACGATCTTCCTAACATCGTTCGGCTCAGGAATGGAATAGAAGCTTTTTTTTTCTAGCTAATGGCACGTCTAAGGAAGACATCGCTTGCCTAAGGCCTGATGAAAAATAGATAATTAAGAGCTAGCCCAAAAAAGTCGAAAACTATTAAATTGATAACACAATGATAAAGATTCTAATATAAAAAATTATAAACAGAGCTTTCGTAAGGTTACGCATACAGGAACCAAGAATATCTAATGCTAACGAGAAACCACAAAAAAGACAGTGGTACAAAGGGTAATTCCACAATATAAACCAACGGGAGACAGAATTATAGGAAGACCTAAAAAGAGAAGGTCTGACCAGACTGACGTAGAACGCTCTAATCCCACTGCTTGAAAACACAAAAATTATTCTGTGACGCCACAAAGCCCACAGAGTTAGAACTTACTTTGCTCGCAGAGTCGAGCCCTTCCTCAGAACCTAGTAGTCGCCAAGCCACTAAAAAAATTCTCTACATTCTATGAAACCCGAAAGTTCATTACCGTGTCCACAAGAGCCCGCCACTGGTCCATGTCCCGAGCCAGATGAATCCAGTCCATACCACATCATCCTATTTCTATAAGATCCATTTTAATATTATCCTCCCTCCTACATATCTTGCTAATTCTCTCCCACAGTTAAAACGTGTCGTTAAATGAAGGATCGACCAAGATTTTGATGCCGTTGGATAAGTGCGAAAACGTCGGAACGTGACAACGCACCGTCTTTGTTTGTTAGATAAATTGTGTTGATGAATAAAATCCTTGTAACAAGTTTCGTTTTCACCCACTACAGGCTGGCGTCTCACTTGCACACGAAAGTCCCCTCCACGGTCTCCACAACGAAGTAAATGGACCACAAACCACGTTCTGACAGCAAACAAGTTATCTGGTAATTGGGCTGTAAAATCCTACGTTGATATTCCACGTGTGAAACTCCCATAAAATTACTTTAGAAAGTCAAAAGGTAAATCGACATCGATACACGAAAATGTAATTTCCGTTCATCTCTCTCGACACATCGAAACGAACCAATGAGAGGCAGACATCGTCTCCCGTTGTTACTCTGATGAAAACACGACGAAACACAGTTACGAACGATATTTCGCGGTCTGGTTAAGAGCCATCTTCCAAGTAATCGTGTTTTCACACCAAAATTTTATATGAATTACTTATGTATCCCAATGTAGCTAAATGCAGAGGGAATGACGGTCTTACAATATCATGTTCGCCCTGATGATGGAGGCAGGAAGCCTTTCCGAAACATCGGCAAGTTTCTACCAGATTACACGCCGTCGTGAGAATCTAAAATGTTCGAGAACTTTGGGAACAATCCCAGCATGTGGCGTTCGTTTCATTTAGTGACAGAGCTGGGAACGCTGTCTCTCCAGTGCTCTAAGCTCGTGGGCTTCAGGGAAAGTCTCGGCCATGAATTCTCACAAAAATGAAAGTCACTTACTTCGCACATTCAATAATTATAATAATAATAATCTTTCCTGTTTTCTCATACGCACATTAAGGCCTGCACGCAGAAATTTAGCAGCAAAGTAACGAAGCAGCCATTCTTCTAACAAAGCAAGCAACTTCTTACTTAGAAAGCAATAGTAAAAGATGAAAAATCTATCATTGCATGACAACCGACTCTGTGGTACATCCATCACCGAGTAGGGGGTACTGTCCCCGACGGAAAAACTGCTAGGGAGTGCAGTTTGCAACTTTACTCCACCCACTTTCGAGGGTAACGTGTGGAGCTGTATCTCCACCCCCACATATCTTTCTACCGTCGTGATTAACCACTGGGGGACTTTGTACCTTTACATTAATCCCAAGTCAAAAGTGGGATATATATATAAAACAAGGCTCCTTCCTATACGGCAGACAAATAACTAGAAGGATAACATTAATATTGATCTAAAAGAAATACATTATGAGGACGAGAAGTGGATTTAACTGGCTTAAAATCGTGTCCGACAGTTCGCTTCAGCATGAACGCAGTCGCAAATCTGGTTTCGATTGGATATGTTAGCGACACAGTTAATTACTAAGAAAACTATTGATTCTTTAAAAAGTAAATACGATTCTTCCGGGGTTTGCAAGACTCCGGAACAACCCAAATGTCAAATTATGCTGCTGTTTTTCATACTTTCGTAACAATTTCCCAATGGGCCAATGTGATCGGAATAAAAACACTTTTAAGGAGACTGGACATTCATCTGCGTGGCTCTACTCAGTCCTTCCTCTGTTCCTGAGGCACAATTCTAGATATGACAATCGCCTTTACCAGCAGCTAAGGGCGGACTAAGAGCCAGGTGACAGGGGTTCGTTTCCAGGCACATACAAACCGACAGAGGCCCCACACAGATTCCTACCAAACGGGTACCGGGGGTCCTTTCCCCGGGGATAAATCGGCCAAGGCGTAAACCTTTAATTCATATACCTCGGTTCGCAAAAACGTCTTCGAAGCGTGGCGCATAACTCACCGCTTTTATTTACTTTTTAACCCGAGAGATAGTCGTCAGAGCTTGTCGGGGTCGAGGGAATGTGACCATTCTTCCTGACTGCAACCCCCCCTCCCCTCCAGCCGATCAACAAGAAGTGTCGCAGCTGCCCAGGGAACCCCTTTCTCTCCTCGTAGGCTGCGGGCCACTCTATAAAGCTGCGAGGCCCAACTGGACGGGATTCAGTTGTGCGTCACTCAAGTGCGGCGAACATGTGGCGACTCGGGGCAGGTAAGCTCAACACAGCCAACTCTCTCTCTCTCTCTCTCTCTGTGGTCCAGCGAACACAGAGATGGGCGGGGCAGAAAACACTCATGGGAATATAACATTTTTCATGACAAATCTCAAGCGAACGAAACTTATCAATCTTACGCGTACACTTAAAGGTAATATCAGAGTAGATTTGTACTAAATTAGGTTAATTCACCTTTGCATTGGAGGAGACTTGCATTTCGGAGGTAGCGGTTAAGAATTTCGACTTAATTCCCGTTCCCCCCCCCCCCCGCGGTACTCGTGGTTATCCTCAGACTCTCCACAGTTCCGTACGTTGCGGCAGAACCCCTTAAACACGCCAAGGCAGATTTCAGATCTTTACTTATTCAACATCCATCATCACTTTCTTATCTGTTTTCACGTATAAAAATCTCTGAGACTCAAAACAGCGTCATTAAAAGACCTAAACGTCGACAGCTAAATAATCACCAAAATCAATGAGCGGAGTAAGCCCACACACATAATATTTCGAAATGTGTGTCAAACTAACTCAAGTCCTACCTGATATCATATTCCACTCTCTTATTAAAATTCATCAACTCCGGTTAAGGACGACACACACAGGCATAGAAACATTATCTCTACCGATCTAAGTTTATTTGTTTGTTTCCTTGTCTTTTACAAAGCTCGTTAAGATACGTAGATTCTTCGTGTCTTGTCTAGTTACAGCCAATCATTCGTGGTTATCTGACGATAAAAGTTGTAAGTTCCCATGACATACAGTAACAAAAGAAATCTGTATTTAAAATCTGCCACGGAATGGGTTTAAAACAAGGTCACACGCTCATTTCAATGCCACAAAGCGTCGCGTAGTTTTCACAAGTAAAATACGAATTAATGTCTCATTTTTGGCAGCTCTCGAGAGACAATAGAAAGCTTGAACATGTCCCAAAAAATTGCTTTGTCTAAGCCATTACAGTGATACGACTCCATCTGTTTCCAGTTCGACAGACAGTAGAAGAAGTCTGTTAAAGTACAATGGACTACTTTCAAAGAAAAATTATGTAAACAAAAATTGCGAAACAAAACATTACATTGTGACGCTGTGTACATTTGTAGGTCGGGCACAAAATGTTCCTCCACGAAGTCAGTGTCTACTTATAATATCACAGGGCGTTACAAACCAGGAGACCTACATCGACAATCTTCAACGCAGACAGAACTATTGTCACTCCATTTGGTAATGTTCACGTACGTCCTGATATGAAGCTACAACTTGCGTCTTAGAACACGCGTCATGTTCCTCTTTTGAATACAATGTTCATTTCAGTGACTTCTGCTTATTAAAATGTGCCCTATCACGATCTGGGGTGACCCTGAGGTCATTGAAAGGCAAAATCTATTCACGGTATCTCAATTTAACTTGGTTAAACACGTACAGTACTGTGTGAAGAACACAGATAATTTCTAATTACCACGCCACAAGTTCCCGAACAAAGCATCCGAGGCCATAAGTAACGAGTCTGTAGATAATGAAGATGTTAAGCAACAAGTTTGTTTAAACATCCACACAGATCAGATTCCACAGCAGCCAATTAGCTGTGTTGTACATCCCCTGATATTTTATGTACCAAGTAAATTGCTTGGTTTTTACCCGGAAAATTACACAAGTCATTAGCCTCATTTACATGTCAATGGTTTTTTTATGTTAACTTCGTAAGGATACAGACATATTTTTGACAGAACTAAATTATACCGCGGGGCACGTACTAAAGAAAGGCAAATACGTCACAATGTTTCTCACGGTGGCGTTACGTATTCTAGGTTGTTGCGAAGTGTAGTTTGGTAGACGTTTCGGAGGTGCTTGCTTCCTCGATCATCACCCGATGATGTATACAGCAACCACATCTGAAACGTCGTTAAACTTCGACCACACTACACAACGCACCAACCCAGAAGACAGCCATCTTGAGTAATAAATTATATTGTTTTGTTTCTCGGAGCTAACGTATACACGAGACACTTTGTAGAGGAGTAAATTTTGCTAATTAAGCCCAATATCAGATTCCGTTCTGGAATTTCTCAGGGGGGACGGATTTTTTGTTAAGTCAGACGTCGGAGTATGCAGTTTTCCGGTAAAACACGAATTTCATGGCTGAAAGGATTTCATGACTAAATGTCAAATTCATAACGGACTGATCATTAAACAGCAAAAAGTTGCAGTTTGGTCAAGGATAACCAGGGAGTTGGCAACACCACGTCTGGCAAGCAGAACAATTATCGTTGCAAATGTCAAGTTGTTGAACAACGCCATCTCTTTAACAAAAACGATATGACGAAATTACTTCACCGGTACTGTTGATGGACCTGCTTGTTCGGACAGGATGAAGAATGACATTCGAGAACATTCATTTACAAAGAATGTCACGAGATAATCAACAGTGCAGATTTATAACTTAATAACTCCGGGTCTTGTGTTCAACGTTCTTTGCCACCATGATGGATATCCTCAACTTAAATTCACACTACGTGCATCTGTGTCCACCGTGGACTCGATATCGAAAATGTCCGAAGTCCGTCTTAACTAATTTGTCCTGGACAAAACTAGGATATGAAACCTAACGTAACGAAATCTATAACAGAGAAAGGACTTTCTAGTTTTGTCTAGGACATTAGATTTTTCTGGTAACAGATAGAAACTTCTAACATGACCTTGAAATAAATACAGCGAAACAAGGGAGGAACGTAAAAAAGAGAGAGAATGGAGAAACATGAAATGTAGGGTAAATAATTTGTTTTTTCGAGTAGATGCATTTAAAGACACTTTCATAACTGCAAATGTAATTACGTGTTGAAGGAAACTGAGATATTACAAATGCATCAGAAAGGACATGGACGAGGCGAATATTGATAAGGCATCAGAATGTCTGTCTGGACAGACCGATGAAACCTGAGCCGGTCTAGAGACAGGTGACCGAAATGTGAATCGACCTATAGAAGCAGATCTCGCGGAAAGCGTTCAAATTACGTAACACGTATTGTGGATTATGTATGCTTCGGAGTGAATGGCACAGAGGCAGGACGAGGGGGCCACAGATACGAAACATTCCCCGTTGATTTCAACGGGTCCGTCTTGACATTCAAGGTCATGCATTTATAATAAACATCGATCGATTTTTACTTCTAGTGCAGGACAGTTTAAGGCTATTTATTTCACACGTTATTTAACGATGCTCTATCGACAACAGAGTTTCTTTAATTCCAAATCATACCAGATAATTATTATGGGCGTGTTCCACATTCTGTGGAATTAGAAATATTCTAAGCCCTCTGGTTTTAATTACACTTCGCGTGTGTAAATCTCAAATTTTAGCGGATCACAATGAAGTTCGCTTTTCAGATCGATTCCAATGAAAGTGGCTCGTAAGTGTGTCATTGTACTGTGATCTGGTGATATAATCCGTCGATGACGTGGGGGATATGTTGCCCCGTTCTCAACAGGAACTGCCGTGAACGCTAACACATTCTCCGTAACATTTTCTGACAAACACATCACGCGTTGCGTACACTATAAATTAGTATCACGAATCCTAGAATTTACTTAGAAACCGAGAAAGTGTATAAAATCAGTTTATTAACATAACATAGCAAACCCTTCTCTTCTGTTAAGTGAAAGGGCCTATAAATGTCACTATTCTGTCAGATTTTTATATAAAAAATTATCGGTGCCGAAACCGGTTATTTACAGACGAACTAAAAATTAACGCCCAGTCTGTTTAATAATAATTTAAAACATATTCTACTGAATTAAGTGCAGAACGGTGCGTGCTTCACAGAGCCATTCCATTAAGAATCTCTCATTACTTGGTTTGTTTCGGGAAGTAATCGCTATTCATTCTGAGAATCATACGAAACACATAATCTCAGTCACGAAAATGCACAGAGGACGTTAAAACATGTGGTACATATAGTTACCACGAGGGTTTAAAATGTATCTTGACGTTGCACTGTGATAACCGCATACTTCATAAGCACCTGTGGAAAGCAATGACCGGAACTTGTACGCAATAACAATACATGAATAATGGATCAGAGCAGGAACTGAGCTGTAATTAAATTTTTTGTTTTGTTTATCCTTGTAAGAACAGCTGTTCGAAAGTAGCTTAGCTAAACAAGTTCACATAATTAGTTCTGTTTTAATTGTTTTATTTTAATTCTCTCCCTGTTACTTCACTTATTTCCGCTTCAATAGGCTATAACTTTCAGTGAGATATTTTCTTAAACATAGTTGGTAGTACGGATTTCTATACGCCTAATAAATTATTTGACTAAACGGTAATAAGAAAATAGGTCTAGAAATTAACGCGGAGATAATTAAGTCAAAGTTCACTTCTCCTCAACAAAATGCAGAGTAAATCAAAACTAAGTTCAGATTTTAAAAAAATACTCTGAAATGGACCCGCGGCAGTAAATGTTGAAAATACAAACCAAAGTTTGCTCCAAAATGACATGCTTTGTATCATATTCGCAATTTTGTTAATTTCAGAGTTATTATTTATTTAAATCGGGATTTAATTTTGACTCACCCTGTATACGGAAGAATCACAATATAGCCCAGGGGTCGGCAAACATTTTTTTTTCTAAAGGGCCAAATAGTAAATATTTTAGGCTCTGCGGGCCAAGAGGCAAACTCGAGGATATTTATATAGGTAAGCCTACTTATGTAACAAGAAAAAACCAAGTTTTCACAAATTTATTGAACAAAATGTAACGTAATAATAATAAGTAGACTGCAATTGTTTGAAATACAGCTCTACTAATGAGAAGAATGGAATTGCCTGTTTATGAGATGACATTTCACCAAACTGAGTTTTAAATTCAGTACTCCCTAACATCAAAATTAATTGTAAATGTTCAACCGTTAATGCTAACCTGTACTGAGATTTTACATATTTCATCTTTGAAAATGTCTTTTCACACAGGTAGGTGCTGCCAAATACAGATATAAATCCCCGAGCATATGATCTTAATTGGCCGTATTCATCGCTTTTAAGACATTTATAGAATTCTTTCTCCCAACTACTCAACTCGGCCGTTTAGTTATAGAACGTACTTTGAAATTTCAAAGAATTTAAATATGTAAAATCCGTTCTAAGCTCGCGGGCCGTACAAAAAGAGGCGGCGGGCCGGATTTGGCCTGCGGGCCGTAGTTTACCGACCCCTGATATAGACAGGTGAATAAATCCTTCGAAAAATGTGGCAAGATTAAAATATCTTAGAACGACAGCAACATATAAAAACTGCATTCATGAAAATTGCAGAAATTCAACTCGCAATTCCATCTTCCGAGATTCACGCCTAAAACACAAGGATAAAAAAAAAACAACAACAGAGAACTGTATTTTTCGTCGCCTCGGGAGGAAGCAGGCGGCGATGGACTTCGTAATTAAGAGCCGCTTCGGACTGCTGTTTTGTCGCTTTCTCGGGTTCACTTTCTCGAAAAGAAGGGGCGAAGGGTCTGTCACAACTAGGACGGCGACTCGTCACAAGCTCCGACCTTCTCTCTGCTTCTCACGTCTCAATGTCCAAGGGAAAAAAGACCCAAAGAAAGTTTGCTCCTCTTTTATTTGTGGTCTGTCACAGAAGCTCCTCAAACTCACTGCATAAAGCGTAGGTTAGTTACCTTGTGCACAAGACGTTGCCAGCCGTCCTTGTCCTGAACCAGAGGAATCGATTCCACATTATTTACGATCGACTTTAATATTATCCTGTCGTCGATATCCGCGCCTCTCAAACCTGTCCATTTCGTTCAGGATCTCTGATCAAAAGTTTTTGTATGCATTTATCATTTCCCCATTCGGGCTACATTCCTCGCCCACCCCACAGTTCACTATTTGACGGACAACAGACGGGGTAATTTTCATGCGAGGAATGGTTTCAAAGTATAAAATTAGTTTACAGTAGTTCCGCTCTGTAAAGGTACTCGTTTACGAGCCAGGAAATCAGCTGACGTAAGAAAATTTCTTGAACGCACATGCGACAAAATTACATTACGACATAATTCGGTTTTACAGGAGAAAGTACTATAAACGCATTGCAGTTGCAACATTACCGTGAGGGCAACGCACTAACAAGAACTTTCTGTTCGTTCATTCGTTACAGAATTTTTTTCTTCGAAAGTCAAAGACCACTAGGAAGACCTAGGCGTAGATGGAAGGATAACATTAAAATAGATCTTAAGGGAACAGCGTTGTGGATATGGATTACTTTAATCTGCCTCAGGATACGAATCTGTCTAGTCCGTACTGTTTATGGAGAAAGGCCCTGCTCCGTGGAGTTATTTAATAGTCGTTTAGCAAAGTCATAAAATGTCATGCTTTTATGGATCCTCAAATAAATCCCCGTGTTTAAAAAACTCTCGAATCAGCTTTATCCATTCCAGACTTAACACGCGTTACATAAAGCCTTTTAGAATTACAACAGCCTCGAGCGGACAATTCAAAGGATTTATCGTTTCTGATTGCTTGAGATGATTTTTCCTGCAGCTAAAATTTCTCTTCCCTCCGAGTGCACTGACCCCAACTACGTACAAAAATTGTATCACTTAAGACGTGATTTAAAATCCGTTCTTATATCCTAGTCACTTTCGCTACATTTTCCGAATTCAGTTCAATACGTGACCAGCATCACGTGTCACGACAGAGAAATTTCTGTCAAAACGTCCCTCTGCCAAGTCCACTGTCACCACGCACAGCGCATACAGTGAGACCGTCGACGTCCTACATCCATAAGTCAACTTAAATGATCCAGCTCTTGGTTCGTACACAATTTGCGTTCGAAATAACGAAGGAAAGAGCCCACTCCGACGACATAGGCATGGATAGGAGGATAATACTAAAGTGGGAAATAGTGGTACACGGTATAAACTGGATTTATCCGGTTCAGGTTTTGGACCGGCTGTGGGCTACTGCAAACATGGCAATAAACCTCAGGATTACATTTACTTCCACTGATTATCAACTTCTCCATGGTTTCTTGTTTCCCACAGCGTGCTTACTAGCTGCAGTCTTGGTGGGGGCACATCACGACGGGACAGCCCACCACGAGAAGGACGAGAAGTCGCTCATTCTCCTGGAAATTCAGTCCAACGGAAGCAACATCAAAGATAAAAGGTCTCCTCAACAAGGTTACAGTCAGGCAGTCTACGGGGCTTCCCCCGGGCAATTCGTTGTGCGCACTAGCGACAGCCCTACCGAAAACGCACAACCTGACGTACCACCTGAGTACCTGAACCTGCTACAACAGCTTGTGACACAACAGCAGCAGACGGACAGCTTGCAGCCTCCCTCGCAACCTGTCCTCCAACAGTTGCTGATCTCGAGGTGAGAAAGAAACAGTACACAAATACTAAGACAAGGGGTCACCAGTAAAGACATTTCCTGATGCAGAAAAACAATGCATTTACCCAAACGTTTAACATGTGGGTTAAGTAACGCCCGATTCGATCACAGACATTATGAGAGATGTTTCATTTCGTAGGAACCCAGATCCGTCCGCGGTACAGTTCAGGACCGTCCCTGGACAGACGCCACCTCGTGGCAGACCGCCTCCTTCACCACAAGCTCAGCTGCAACAGCTGTACTTCAACCGGCAGTTCCAACAGCAGATTCCACTGCGTCCTCGGCTCCTGCGACCTCTCCCGAGGCCTGCAGAACCCAGTTCGCAAGGCTTCCCTGGACTGACCTCGACCTCACAGGTCCATGACGTGCACGAGGCTCGTCTCAGAGCGTCACTCGCTGGAAGCGACCCGAACCTCGCAGTCCAATCACTGATCCAACAGCAGGGGACCCTGGTTGGCGGAAATTACGATCAGCAGCTGTCACAGCTGGCAACAGCTTTACAAGAACAGACTCAACTCCAGGCAGTGCCTCAACAAGTCGCTCAGGTACAGTCTGTTCCTCAACAGCAAGGAGCATACACTATTAGCTCTCAGGTCAGGTACGTCCCAGAACCTCAACAAGTTTCTCAGCGTCCAGTTCCATATTCGAGCAGACAAGTTACACCTCCTCAGCAACTCGTATCTTCAGAGCAAGTTAAACCTTCACGTCGCCCTGCACCAGCGGAACAATATCTCCGTGAGACATCACAGCCTCTCTCAGGGCAGACGGTGGTACAAATACCGCAGGGGGAGCAGAGCTCCCAGCCAACCGTGTACTTGAGCTCCCAATCCGGACAACAGGCACCAAGTACGACTCAAGACGACGACATCATTTCACAGCTTCTCTCGCAGCAAGGTCGTGGTCTGATTCCTAGTTCCACTCCCTCGTCCCTCTCTTTGGCAGAAGAGCTAATTAATCCCTCAACTTCGTCACCACCAACAGAACCCAGATCATCGATTTTTGTAACAAAAACATCAAACGTGAAAAAACCTCAGAGTCAAGGTAGAATAACATTAGAGGAATTACGGCCAATTCAAGACAACTCTGACACAACTTTGCCTATCGTTCACCTGCCAACACCCAAAGGACAGAGGCCACTGACTCAAACCGAATTCCAGGCGCTCATTGACGCAGGTTTCAAGATATCACCAGTGCCGGAGTCTCCTGTCCAGACAGTAACTTCCGGGTACTACCAGCCGACGACAAAAAGGCAACGCTCATACGCCACACCTTCACCCACACAGCGTAACCAGGTGTCACACCAGTCACGTCAAAAGAAACCCCAACGGGAAAAGGACGACGTACAGCAGATATCAAGTCCTGGACCCGAACGTCTACCACAACGGGAGCAGGTAAATAGATACCAACCGCAAGAAACAAAACCACGACGTGAAGAAGAGGATGGTTTACAGTACGTCCGAAATCCTGAAGCCAAAAACATCCGTCAAGGTCTTCCGGTTACCAGGATCCAAGTCGTAACAAATAAGCCACAACCGGAAGAAGAAATAATTCATTTTATTCAGATACCGACCACTCCTGAAGTTCCGGACGTTCAACAGAGAGGTGATCTGACCAAATATCAGCCAAACGCAGAAAGGCAAGTTGTCCAAACACAGGACCGCAGATTGCAGCAGCCACAGCAAGAGAGGTATCAGACGCAGTCAGACAGCTTACCGCAACAGCCAACATATTTCAACCATGACGAAGAGCCTGTTAGTCAGCAAGCACTAAGATTCCACCCCATCATTGTGGCAGAGCTGCCGACAACAGCTACGCCACGGAGACGAAGGCCTCGCCCCGGTAACAGCGGGGCTGTTTATCGAGCACAACTCGCAAATGAACAGAGAGGAAGCCAAGACGCGCCCGAACAGTACCTCGTGTCTTACGACAGCATTCCAGAAGCCACGTCTTTCGGCACAAGAGGCAGTAGACCGAGAAGTCGTCGCCCAATATCGGACGAGGAATCTTAAAACAGTCGCCTTAATTACACATGTCATATCATATTCATTACTAATCGTGACTATTGACAATAATTTTCAAGATGTCTGGAGACATTCATCGAATATTGTTTCCGAAACCTTTATCCTCGAAACACCTTAGACCAAAATCGCGGGAGGACACAAGCACAGATAAAATCCTCGCTTTAAAAGTAACTATCTACATGTTCAGTTATTTTGTTAAGAATGTTATCTACGGCAAATCATTTTTAGCTTAGTTGGTGAGTCGCAAGACGTAGGTAATGTTAATTATGGACCTTAACATGAAAAATCTTGTATCTTTCTTCACTGAGAGTATTAAATGGTAGTTATCTAGAGAAGAAGTGGATAGTAAAAAAGAATGGAAATGATTAAATAAAATTCATATTTCTTCTGCGCAAAATAAGAAAATTATGATATAACTAATTCTACTACTATTACTATAACCCAATGACATTCTTAATTTATTTCTGACATAAAAGTGTATGAAGATAACGAGACCGAACCACTGCTTCAAGTATAGAATTATGGCAATGCAATCAGCTTTATTGCCAAATGGTTTGCCTTCCTGTATCGCTGATACAGAGTGGATGTTCAGCATGTATAAAATTCTCTCTTATCGAATTATACAAAACATCCTGAATGGTCACAATTTAAATAAAATATAAATGTAACAAGGTCTAAGCGTATGTCGATGTTTTAAAGTACTTTCGGGGTTGGTAAGATTTCAAAATTCTAGCTCTTTTAAATTTACGGTAAATTTCCAGCTTGTAAAATTTATTCAAGACAGAACATATTTTGTACTTGTAATTACAACAGATACGTTGGATTTTTAGGTTGGATATTGATACTGAAAACACCGTCTAGAGGGACTTAATGGATCAATACGAGATAAATGTCACTACACGTCAAGAGTTACGCCATAATTTTGGAAACCACTGCCGTCCATAAACCTGCAGGGTACCGAACAAAAATCATAATCATCAAAAAGTAAGATTTATGTAAATTACTTTACGAGCCTCGACCATAAAACAATCAGGAGTGTAAATACATCAAGTGTCGCTGTACTTTATGGATTCATGAGTCAACTGTTCAATTTCTATCTTCGGGCATTGTCAATGGTGGCTCAAATCGACTGAAGGTAGCAAAACTGAACGCATCATACGGGCGTTTCATATTTCTTGATGTCAAAACAAATTGTCAATAAAAAGCATTTGTAACTGTTGTCATTATTTCAAATATTCTTCCACAAAAAACACGACGTTATCGATATTTCGTAAAGTTCCATCATGTGAACTTCAGGGTAAATACCAATGTTTCGGAGGAATTTATAGCCTCCATCTTCAGGGCTACCTCCGAAACGATGGTGTGTACCCTGAAGTCCACAAAGTGTTACTACTCAGAAGACCTAGTTCCCTCAAATACGCAGGGCAATGACCCATTCCTCTTCAGCATCTACCATCTCTTACAGAGTCGTGGAAGTGCCCACTCTACACGTCCATCCATTTTCTGACAGTCGTTCAAAATGCCTGATCTTCAATATTTTGTATTTTCGACCCCATCCGTGATCACCTTATACTTTCTGAATGGACTTATCCGAATGTTCTTAAGTTTATGTGTCTAGGGAAGTCCACATCAAAAAGTTAACCCCAGACACCTTCCCTATTCAACAAATGGATTAAAATACACTTCAATTTATATTTATCAAACAGTCGTACTGACGACAAAGTTGGTGTCCAAAATATACTTAGTATAAAATAGCTGTGTGATGCGATGTTGTGACGTGTAGTTAGTCGACGCCCTGAGGATGGAGGCAATAAACACCTACGAAACGTCGATCAATTTAAACGAGGCTATACGACACGACATCCCAGAAGACAGTTGTCTTCAACGGCAAGAACTGTCTCCAATGCGAACACTTTCAACCTTACGTCAAACAGGTAGGACGCCTCGGGGGTAGAAAGGCGTGGAAGTAACCATATAATGACGAGATCAAGAATGCGTGGAGCTTCACCTCGTTTAGATGCATTAAAATAGTAGTTGATGGGGAAAACATTTACCAGTGTCACTTTGTACTAAAGCAATCTCAGTTGAAGACGCCAGGCACTGAACCTGGGTCTCGTTGGTCAGAAACAGCACTAACCACCTGAGCTACAGCACGGCCTAAACTACAGACACGATCAAATTCACAGCGCCCTACACTTCGTGTCTTATTTCCGCGTAACAAAATAAAATTATCGAGATTTATCTCGCTGGGCTACTATTACAGTCGATAAATTAACTGAACGTGAAAACAACATGATCACTAAACAGGTAATTTAAGAAATAGATACGTAAATTAAAATACTGTCTTGTCCAAAAGCCAGTCAATCTCTGCCGATTTTTATTTACTTGCTTTAACAATCCTACTCGAAGAACGAAAGAGGTCAACTCCTTGAATCCGACAGCGCCAAATGCATTGCAGTGGCCCACAATTCGGCGGCTTATTTAACGCCCTAACAACTCTGATGATACAAACCGAATCCGTTTGTCGGTAACGGTCTTGAGACGTTAAGAAGGAAGTAGCAATTTCCTCCGAAACGTTTGCATCTACGAAGAAATTCTTCGTATTTATCATAAAATATTCGCACACGACAACCGAATACAGCCAAACAAAGTATATTGGTATCTTCATCATCCACAAATGTTTCAGTGTAGTCAAAGAACCCTATAGTCGATTGGAGGGTACATTTCCCACAACCGTCGAAGTACGCCAAAGGGTGAAAAGTATATTATAGAAAGATTTGCAAGTATTCGTCCCGGGTTGAACAGCCTCAAGATATGATCCACTCGCGACATCTCCTTAAGACGGTTTTAAAATTTCAATATAGCAGAGGCTATGAAAAGACAGTTATGTTTCAACCAGATGTCCAATAAAAGCACAGGGGCGATAGTTATCTAGCACATACATGCATATCAGCCCCCTATTAGGAAATTTTCTTAAAGAACAAACCTTGAGGATTTGGGGGCAACCAAGCGAGAAAAACATTACACAACCAACCATTCCGAAACAAACTAGGCGAACCACTACATCTGACACTTGCCTGCAGATAACAACCTCGCATAAGGCCAGCACCAGCGACCCTGCAAACCTCGGCGCACTTAATCTCTCACACCCACACGACAGGTCAGTGACGAAAGAACCCGGACCGGCGCCTGCTGCAGACAGAACCCGCGTGTTGAACGCAGCCAGTAGCCTCTCTGCCGACAGGCGGTTGTAATACTATAATTTGTCTTAGGGAAGTACCCGGTTCAAATCTCAGCTAGGTCACCATCTAACCACAATATATCCTTCATTTTCCTCAGTCCCTCCACACGAATACCGGGATAATACCCTAAAAAAACCCGATCGCCTCCTTCCAAATCCTAACCTACTCAGAATTTATCATGATCCATTTCTAAATCACCGTTACATGATACTGTGTCATGGAAGTGTTTCTTGAGACGCTAACAGTCGCTCAGCCAGCCAGGAAATTGCCCGGTAAAGATGGAACTCTGAAGGTAGCTACCGTGTTCTCAAGAGCCCGAAAATGTCCACATCCCGAGCCAGACGAATCTAGCCCCCACCACCACGCCCATTCCCCTGACAGCCTTTTAATATTATCCTCTCAACCACGCCTAGGTCTTTCGGGTAGTCTATACCGAGTTATTAACGGACTAGCCAAACAGACACTGATAGCCTGCTTAATAATTAAAGCACCCAATTACAGGTAACGAATACGGTACGTTGTATCACTTCTATAGTAACGAAACCGAAAACAAGCTGAAATGGTCCAGTCATAAGCCAGTTCCATCCATCTTCCATACGTACAGTCTGTTTCAGTAACATGAACCTTATTAGCTTTGTCCATTTCAAGTTGTCGACTTCCTCAGACACGCTCACAAAATTACGATTGAATTTCTCGTTCCCACCAACTCCTAACGCGTCGATTTCAGCACAACTTCAATAGATTTCACCATCCTAATCATAACCGGTAACCATCATAAATTACAGCGTGGGGTTTGTCGTTTTGCAACACTCATACAACAAACTGTCCATTCCTGCCAGGACCACAAAATTTCCGGGATTCTATCATCACGGTATCAAACCTTCCAGTCCCATGAAACGCGGAGAATTTGTTAGATTAGCCACTATCAGCTTCTGAACAAGAGCTCTACCCCATGGACTTAGTTCCTCCAGATCCATCAACACAAAAAAAACGCGTATAACTTCAACTCATTCTCCCAAATGATGATCGGACAAGTTTCTGCTAATTCCCCATAGCGTTCTCAAACATTACCACAGTGGACAGACATCAAGCAGGACTTACATCATTTATAAGAGAGCCGAAAGTGTGTGTAGCCGCGAACTTTAGCGGGAGAAAAGCTACATCGGAGAATTCCAACTCTTCTCTGTGGGTGAACTAATGATTTCAAGTGAGACGCTCAATCACTTCACTTTTAAATGACCATGAGCGGCGGGAGGCAGGTAGGCGAGGCCTTCAAACGACCTGCAAGTCGCTGTGGGTGGTACCGTGTTGTTCTCTCTGTGGCTGCTGCCCCATATCCTGTTATAGCCCGCCGCAATGCACAAACACTCAGTCAGCCGACACATTACTATCTCATATCGTCTACTATTAAAAATTATACAGGGTGTTTCAAAAATTTCAAAATACCTGCGCGTATTAAAACATCTCAAATGAATTGGATTACTCATCTGAGAATGTGACCCCAAAGGCTTCATTACTGAGTTAAAGACTGTTTAATTTCGATACAATTTTCAGTAAAACAAATAAAAGTTTTATGCACTTGTTAAACAAGCGATCTAAAACAAATTAAAACCCAACGGACGTCATTTGATATTCAATTTTCAGCCAGAGGTCGCTGACAGCACAAGGTCATGTCAAGGTCAGAAACAATATTAGCCCATGGGTTTGCCGAATATACGCCTTTAAACTTTTCAAGGTCAAATAAGGTTAAATTTTTCTCACGTTTAAATCGAAAAAATTAACGGTGCAAGTACTTTTGAGCATATTGGTGGATACCTTGCCAAGTCTAGCTGGAGATTACACTCACTAAGAACAAACATATGTATATCTGCCTTACGTGCATCACCTTTCTGATGTGAACATATGTAAGTAACCTATAATGCGAAGGTAATAATATAAGGGTATTTTCTTTCATTCATTACACAGTGTCCCAGAATACGTGCAAACAATTCTGACGTATGTAATGGTTATGTGTATACATCGTTTTGGGGAAACCGTATTATAAGGGCCCACAGAAAAGCTATGTTATCCGACCATCAGCACCTCAGTTATCCAATGCGGAACCATCTTCATGTAGACTTGTAGAACTTAATTCTGACCTTAGACTAAGATCAAGGAATTCGTGTTTCTGGAACATGCCGCATGTGTTGACCTTAACAAGTTTTTATTAATAAAATACAAGGTTGGAACAAAACCGTGTGACAAAAAGTAGTCCGAAACCTGAAAGTGGATTTATTAACACGTAACGATCATTGTATGTTCGCGCATGCGTACATGCTGCTGTTCTAAATACGAGAAACTGAATATGTAGACATCTTAACAGTCTAAAATCGAGTGATTAAATCATCAGCAATTCTTTACCTTGCCCATGGAGTGTATTTATGGGATTCGTGTTATTTCAGAGCAAACAGCTAATTACTTCCTTAAATAACTTTAATGAACTGGCAGTTGTCATGGGGACGTGATTATTTTGAGATACAGACAGGTTATTTAGGCAAGATTGAACTTCAAAACACTACGCAGAAACCAAACATGTACCTATAGGCGATATTACCATACACAGTCCTGCCCATGGTCATCGTTTCACACCCAGTTTGTACAAACAACAACATTTCAGGCGAAGGACAATGGCGATTATAAACAAAAAATGTACTTTAATTAGACCTACATATGTAGGGAGTCAGGGGGTGTTGCACGAACTGGTCGCCTGCAAATTATGAAACCAGGTGATCAAATTTCGTCACCTGCTATCTGACTACTTCGTGCTGATATTACATCCCAGCAATATTACTCCATCAGGTCTCTAGGAAATGAGTTTAAACAGACATCAAAGAGCTTGTCGACAGAAGTGATTAACTACATGCAGATAAGTCCTCCAGAAATTAAATCTGCTATAAGTGAACACACGATTCACAGTTTGTTCACAAGCGGAAATCATTCAC